CCTGCAATTTTACTAATCATAGTCAAGAATTAAAATATTTTGAGTATTCCTGAGACACTCTTAATTGTGTAACAACAATAAATGTGTGAATTGATATTTGTGGAAAACACCCAGCTCCAAAGCTTCTATATCAGTGGTAAAGATATGTTCATATAAAATTTTAGGTTTCTCAAGTATTCAAATCTCTTCTCTATGACATATCTCAATCATATTTACTACAAAGAAAAAATAAAATTTCTGCATGATTATGCCTTCAGTTTCTCAAACTACAAAAAAATAAATCAGGAGGTAGTTTTATTATGAAACATTATTTTTTTTTCTTCATCAAAGATCTTATTCTTTAAAATGAGCTGTTTTCCATTCTCTCACTATTCCTCAATGGTGTCTTTTTGCCTAATCATATTTAACAAGGTCTTTTAGAGTTGGAATACATATTTGTCTTAACTTAGAATTCTCAAAATAAAATGTAAACAGACCAGGAGTCTAGTCCAGGGGATAGGATGCTTCCTTTCCATGCAGTCGACCCCAATTTGATCTTCAGCATCACATATGTTACCACAAGTCATCCCTAGACACAAAGCCATAAGTAAGTCCTAAAATCAGCACATGTGCTCCCAAACCAAAAACAGATCAATAAAAAATAAGCCATTTGCTGACCTTTAAACTCAAATTCTTCAGAACTGGAGAATAGTACAGTGGGTAAGACAATTGTCTTGCACACAAGCCAACTCGGAGTGATGCCTGAGCACAGAACTAGATGTGAGTCCTAGCACAGTCAAGTGGGACTTACACTTAAGTTTCCGGTTGGTTATAAACCAGACTTATAAAATAATTGCTCATGATGATTTTTTAGAACACTTTTTCATCCTATTCTTCTAGGTATAATTATAACTCAAGAGCTGGAGAGAGAGGTCAAAGGTGGGGAGTGCATGCTCTACATGTGGGAGACGAGGTTTGATCCAGCTCCACCAGATATGACCCCAAAATCAAAAAACAGAAAACAATTAGAGCATCAAAGTCTACAACATGTACAGGATAAATAACTCCACTTATGTAAGTATATATGCCTCTTGAAGAGCCCGGCAAGCTACTGAGAGTATCCTGCCCACGGAGCAGAGCCTTGCAAGCTACTCTTGGTGTATTCAATATGCCAAAAGCAGTAAGAATAATGGGTCTCATTACCCTGACCCTGAAAGAGCCTCCAATATGGCAGCATTGGGAAAGACAAGTAAGAAGAGGCTGCTTAAATCTCAGGGCTGGGATGAATGGAGATGTTACTGGTACCCGCTTGAGTAAATCAATGAACAACAGGATGATGGTAATACAGTGATAGTATATATAGAAAATTTTAGTCACTTTAATTATAATACAATAACTAAAACCATAAAAATGGGAACCTACTTTAATAGTTAAAAATATGTAATGAAAATAAACAGTGCTATACAAAAGAAATCATACTCATATAATGAGAATTGGTATCAAATGTGGCTTATTTGGGAGGTTATTCTAACTTTTTTGTAATTTGATCAAATGAGCTTAAGAAAATAAGTTCTTTCAAATCTGTTAACCAAAAGTACCTCCTGGTACCATTTTACCTCTATAGTTGTTTTATTACTTCTGCCTCTAAAATTCCTTCAAATTAAAAATATTTGTCTTTAGAATCGTAGACATTAATTTAAAAGGATATATACACCCCATGTGCATTGCTACTCTTAATATAATAGCCAAGATAAGGAAACAACCCAAATGCCCAACTTACAGATGAATGAATTCAGAAGTTGTGGTATAAATTATAAATACACAACGGAATACTATGCAATTCCAAGGAAGAACAAAATCATGAAATTTGCAAAATAGATGGAACTGAGGATGGAACTGAAGGAACTGAATAAACTAGAATGAAAGGGACAGATACCTAATGATTTCTTTCAAATGTGGGGCTGAAGCGATAGCACAGCAGTAGGGCGTTTGCCTTGCATGCAGCCAGCCCAGCCAAGCCTAGTTCAATTCCTCCGCCCCTCTCAGAGAGAGCCTGGCAAGCTACCGAGAGTATCTCGCCTATAAGGCAAAGCCTGGCAAGCTACCCATAACATATTCAATATGCCAAACACAGTAACAACAAGTCTCAAAATGGAGACGTTACTGGGCCCGCTCAAGCAAATCAATGAACAACGGGAGTACAGTGTTTGTTTGTTTGTTTGTGTTTGTGGGACTTAAAGATTCCATTCCCAGCATCACCCTTTGTCTGAGTACTTCAGACTCCAGCTCCCCTGCCATTTAGGATCCCTTGGACAAAACATAATATGTGATCTCTGACCCACTGCAATAAACTAAAAGTGTGAGCATCACAACTAAAAATGTGTGATCTCCAGCAAGCACCCAGAATGTGCCAGTGCCACATGCCCTGTGCAAGACAAAGCATAGGGGCATAACTAAACATGAGGACATGCAACCAAGTGTCTGTGACACAAACAGCCCTGCCCACCACTGCAATGATAGAACTTAACAGGGAAGGGGGAAAAATTCAATAGCAAGTTATATGTTAGGAATGATACATTAAAAAATATAAATAAAAATTTAAAGCATATAATTTGCTTTATTCGACTGATAGCCTTATAGATTTGCTTATATTCAAATAAATGTGGCAATGAAGAAAATTTGAAAGCCCTGGATACTGAAGAAAAAATGGTCCTGAGAAAAGCTAAGAGGTCAAGTTATTGATCTGCAAGTGTAAGGTTTTGAGTTGGATCTCCTACACCACCTCACGGGCAGACTCAAGCCCTGAAGCACTGCACTGTCATATGAGAGTCTGAGAATCACAGCAGAACACCAAACCATACGCAGACACCACAATCAGAAGCATGTGGGCCCTAAGTAGCATTACCGCCAAAGTATGTGAACACCATAGTCAAGAGATCGAGCATTCAACCTAGGATGTATGACATCCAATCATGGCAACAACAACAAAAGAAGAGAAATTTCATAAATATAAAAATTATAGAACAGGACAAAAATATATATTCATAAACTAAAGACAAACGAATAAACACAGTAGTCTAGATTAGCCACATGTTTTTCTTGGTTTATATATGAGAATGAATCACAAATCACAATCACAAATCATCCTGTTAATCGTCGATTGCCTCAAGCAGGCCCCAGTAAAGTCTCCTTCATCCTAGCCCTGAGATTATATTCAAGGCTCTTTAGGAGAATGAGACCCATTATTGTTACTGGTATTTGGCATATTGGGTATGCCATGAGGAGTTTGCCAGACTCTGCCGTGTGGGCAGGCTACATTCGGTAGCCTGCCAGTTTGTCCAAAGTAGGAATGAGATAATAATATGTCATAATAGGATGTTCCGGGGGCTGGTTTTTATAGTCTCTGAGTCTTGGCCGTTGATGGGATTACACGGCGCCAGGGGGCCAGTTGGTGGGTGTGACCCCCGCCTACTGGAATTTGGAGGATCTGGGTGGAGGATGCTTGGCCCAAATCCAAGTAGGCTTGGAGATCTCGGCCCCGGAATCCACGTGACTTTGTCCCTCTGCCAGTACCTTCATGTGTGCGGAGAGTGGTCTCAGCATGGTGGTGGCTGGTCCTGGAGGTCTTTGGCTGCTGGAGCCCTGGTCGGGGCGGAGAGGAATGCTCAACCCACTCCCCTCCAAGGGGCCCCAGCGGCGAGGACAGTCAGGTGCGGGGGCAGGAGACTGCACTGTTCTTCTTCCGGGGGCTGGTTTTCATAGTCTCTGAGTCTTGGCCGTTGATGGGATTACACGGCACCGTGTATGAGAATGAATATTACATAAAATAACCAACATTTGAAGGAACAAATGATTGTGTGATATAAATAGGAGTTCCACATCTGAAACCTGTTTTGATTTTTTAATGTTACACAGAGCAGGTATGGTAACTTCGGTAAAGTTGTAAATTGCAACCAAAGAACTTGGGTTCTAAGATCAGTTCTGTTAGTACCAGCTTTTTGATCTCTAACGGGATCTTATACAGACTTGTTGGTAATTTCATCTTTGAAAACACTTATAATAGCATGTGTCCACTTACTGCTCTGAATTTCCACAAAAATCAGGTGGAGAGTAGGAGATCAAAGAGCTTTCAAAGTTGAAAGTTCTCTATAATGGTGAACTTTCATTACACTGACACTATTCCTGATAGTCCAGCTTTGATTTCAAGAGGCAAAGAAAAAAATAATCCAACCATAATTAATATTCATCTCAAAAATTATAAAAATAATGGTAGATTAATTTGTCAATGTTGCTGATTTTTATTCACCTCATTTGCAATGAAAGGAAATGAGGCAGAAACTGTACTATGTTCCAGAGTTTTACAGACTTACCCCGAAGAGCTATAGGACTCAATTAGTCAAGGAGATGTTTATCTGTTCTCTTTGTGATGAGTTTATCTACGACAATACTACATTGCTGATACTGCATTACTGATAGTACATTACCTGTCTCATAGATGTGATGTGGTTTCTTTTTTCTATCTTAAATATTATCTGGATATTGATGTCTTTGACTTGTAAATAACTTAGCACATTTTATCATTTACACACAGAAATGAGAACTCTCTGAAATCTATCAAAGCAAAGAGGTTTATTAACCCTCCATGAACTGGCTTGGTAGAGACTGCTTGTCTTTCTCCCACTCCCCCACCAAAAAAAGAGAGGTTTCATATGGAAAATATTTGGTTCCCTTCTGTTTGATTTTGACAATAACCTGTTTTCTAGTTTTCTCCAACCATTTCCCATACTGAGAAGCCGTCAACTATTTGTAAATGAATTACGGTTCCAAAGGACTCCAGGGAGAAAAGAGTGCATTTAACAACTTGATTCACCATATCTGCCTTTGGCCCTGTACCTGAGCTATACCTATACTATGTATGTCAGCAATAAATACACTTCATAGTGGCAAGCTCTAAGAAATAAAAGCTTGGGTGAAAACACACACACACACACACACACACACACACACACACTTTTACTTACTGCAAATAAAAGTGGTCTCATCTGAATTATCAGCACAGTCATTCACAAAATCGCACAGCTTGTCCTTCGAGATGCAGTGTTTGTTGGCACAGGTGAATTCTTGAGCAGTGCACTTTCTAGCTGGGCTAAGAAGTGGGGAGCAGTCTTGAAAGTAAATATCATCCACAGCCACATCTCCCATGTAACTAATTCCACGTTTAGCCCTGAGGATAATCTATTTTTTTAAAAAAAAAAGGCAATTTCAGTTAAGTTTTTCATCAACTCAAAATTTGGGGCCAACACTTAACATAAATACTGAGTGTAAATCAGATTTTAAACATCACTGGAATAAACTCAATTCTGGAAGGTTGGAGGTCATCTTATGAAGCTCCAACAAAACACAAAATTATACAATTTACCACTACATTTACTTTAGGTGGAACTAAGGGATATCATGCTGAGTGAAGTCAGCCAGAAGGGACAGATCCAGAATGAGTTCTCCCATGTGTGGGACTTAAAGATGCACAACAAGGTAGCAACAATGGCCAAAAGGCAGCACAATGGGAAAACTGATCCAAATGACTGAGTTGGTGGAAAGGGTTGAAAGGAGGGTTGTGATATTCTTGGAGGGAGGAACAGAGGTACACTGGAGATAAATGTGGTGCTGAAATTATGTGCATGGGAACCCATCATTAACAGTATAGTAAATGGCAGAACTCCAATCAATAAAGAATTTTAAAAGTAAAATACATTTAAAATATTTTTAAAGTATTTATAAATTTTAAATATTTAAAAGTAAAACAAATTTAATTTTTTTAAAAAGTTAAAATATTTCAAACTTCAATACCATAAAATTTTGTCATTGGCCACATCTTTGGAATTGAAATTCTTTTGATTTGTCTTTAATTAACTGTGTGACAGTAAGTGTCCCCTTATATGAACTCAGAAGTAATGAAAACCATAACAGGAATAACTAAATTTTTCCAAAATCCCATGTTCAGTTTGTTATATTGCCATTCTTTGGAATAAAAATGTACCCAGTATGGAAAAATAAAGAAATTTACATATTGTTGAATTTCAAGTTTCTAAGTGAAACTAATTCAGAGATTTTTTTCCATTAAATTTCTCGGCAGGAAGAATATCTATTTGTGTGCTAATGCAAAAAGCATTCATATATCTTAAAGCAAATTTTAAACAACTAAAAATGAGTTAAGAAGAAATACCAATTAATCTAGTGTTCTTATACAAAATATTCATTGTAATTAAACTCCTAAATGCATTTTCACCAAATCTAAATGTTTTCTTGAAAGTAGAGAATTTTCTTAAACCATGTGATGCAGCTATTATGTGGAAATATAAGTGTTTCCTTTTTAAGATGGGTGGATATAATAATGACTGTCACATAATCAAAATAAAATGTGTTTATATAAATTTACATAGTAATAATGTTCTGAATTTGCATAAAATTAAATTGTTGCTCTTCATAGCAGAAGTGTTAGAAAAGGAAAATAAATGTGTGAAATAGATTAAGAGTTTGAAATAGATTTAGGAATGGTAAAACTAGAAAAAAATGGACTTTATAGGGAAAATTATGCTCAAAAGAAACATTCAAAAACAAATTGCAAAGGATTACATCTCATCTGGATTACATCTAAACATTTAATATATGATTGTATGGATAAATAAATAAGAAATCAGATAACCCAGTGTTTCATTATTAATTTGTTCACTTACTATTCTACAGGCAGAGTGTCAGTTTCTTGCCATGTCCATAACTTATACATCAAAGTAACATACAATATTTGTCAAGATCCTTTCTACTTTTAATGTTGAAAGAGATTAACTTTTTAAATTAGTAAGTATACTTTTTGGGGGTAGCATAAATGCAAGATGATGTTTTTGAAAAATTCTGGAAGCAATCTGACATGATAGTTGAATTAAGAGCTCCTCTAGTGGTCACCTGTGTTGAAGATTAGCTCTAGTATTTTGTAGTTCCATAACAAGGACATGTTACACCCACCAAATGGTGTAAACAAGTGTAAACAAGGTGCCTCCTCCACCCAGATCCCCCATCTTCCAGTAGCTAGACTGTTACACCCACCAACTGCCGTGTAATCTCACCAATGACCAAGATCCAGAGACTATAAAACCAACCTCATGTAATTAAAACTCAAGACAACAATGATAATGTGGATCCTCTTTTTCTTTATCCAATCTTAACAACCTTCAATAGCAAATTCTTACCTTGAAACCATCTCCCTTTCTGTAAACACACATACATGCAGAGAAGCACATATCTTGCTTTATTGATAATACATCAAAACCTATGTGCCACTTGTTCTGGCCTTTAAATGTGCAATATAGGTAGATATTCAGCTCCTAATAACATCGTCTCCATGAACACAAATACAGTATTACACAATTCTATTCATCCCCCAAATATTTTTTAATTAAGCAAATGTATTACCCTTAATGAGATTTTAACATTAAAAAACCTGTCAGATTTTAATTAAATGAATGTAATTTACTTAAGTTTCTAAAAATATATTTGTAAAACAGAGGGAACTATTTTTCCTATGTGAAGATAACTGTGGAGACACAGACTATGGGCATTAAAATTAAAAGTTCCCAGAAGTCTGATTATATAAGTAAGAATTTAGGACAGTCTGAATTGTCAATTCCTTATGGAAAATGTTAAGTGGAATTGTAAGCAGTCATATTAATACCTCAAAAAGGGAATAATGGACCAAAAGAATTCAAGTGGAAAAAACAAATTAGTATTAAAAAATCAGTAAAACTCAATCATCACCAAACTTTGTGGAATACGAACCTGCACATATGAATGAAAACCTAAAAATACTTCTACTTTTTTCCACTGGGTGCCTTGCTGTCCACTCTGAGCCCACAATTTAGAAGTAATGTTATTTTTCTTGCTGAGTACCTGCAGAGGTGAAGCAATTAAAAAGCGTTAAAATATACTGCTTTGATATTTTATCAAGGTCACTCCTGGAGGTGTCCAGGACCCTGTGGCTACGTCCAGCAGAGTGTGGGTATGGCCCAGTGTTCAGGAGACATGCAGTGTTGGGAATCATATTCAAGGCTTTATGTGTGCTACACATGTGCTCTACCAGCTGATTAGTACCCTTGACTATTAATTGTTATCGTTTCTAAACATTTTGTTGAGATGACACTGGTTTGCAAGACTGTAATTGTCTGTGTGATTTAGGAGATAATGTTACATACCATAACACTACCCAGCAGCAACATCTCTCCAAAACTGTATACTGGACACCCCAATTCTTCACCCCACTTCTGGCCTTAGTTAAGTCAGTTCCATGTTTAAAGTGTAATGATTTGTTCACATAGGACATTCACTGTCTATTCCCTTACTAATTCTTTGTATACCACATGTAAGTGAGAACATGCAACATTATCTCCCTCCTTCTGACTTATTTCACCTACTATGATACCTTCTAATTCCATTCATGTCATAGTAAAAGACAACATTTTGTCTTTTTTCTAATATATATGGCTCAATGATATCCCATTGTGTATATAGCAAATTTCTTTGTCTACTCATCTACCATTGGGTTGTTTGCAGATCTTGCTTACTGTAAACAAGTACACATATATCTTTTTAGATTAGTGTTCTTGTATTCTCTGGATAGATAGAATTGGAATTGCTGGCCTTGAAATATTTTAAGTACACCTAATTTTTTTCCAGTGGCTTTTCAAAAGTTCACTATCAACATGCATACCTTGAAAGAATGCTGAACCACTTTTCATTAGATGTCACTGTTTCCTGTCCCTCCCTCCCTGTGCCCCAAAGGAACCTCACAGATTTGTGTAATAAAGGTATGCAGGGATATCTGTCAAACAAGTCCAATCGTATCTCGGTATTATTTAATTAAGACCTCTTAACTACAAAATCGTTTTAACATTTGACAGCAGTGACAATTATTTATATTAAATATATTTTTCATGTATCTGAATGAAAATCACAGCATCACTTCCTGAAATACTTTCAAATACCCAAAGGCAACAAAAGCTGAGAACTGGTATTTGGTAGGAAACTATTTCAGGGGAAGGGCGGAGAGGATTAGGATAAGTAGGAGACACAGAGAAGAGTGGAGAGAAGGGGACAGTCTGGGGCAGGATGTGGTGGGAGACAGTGTTATTCATGAAATAATATAGTTACCATTAACAGTATGGTAAACCACAGTGACAAAAATAAAAAAAAAATTTAATAAAATAAAGGTTTCATCAAAATGACAACTTAAAAAAAAATGAAAAAAGAATTGTCTCATATCCTCTCCTGCTCATTGGGGACATTCAGTCTGCAGTGGGATCCCATCTAATTTAACCCATTCTGTGCCATGAAAACTCCCTTCCGGTAGCATTGAAAGAAACTGATTCTCACCCATACAACAGGAAAATTCAGATTGTGTTAGCAGAAAAAATTATCATGGCTCCTTTTTTTCAGAAATAGGCAAAGGAAGCCAGTTTTAGAGAAACTAAGCCTGTAATAAGCCCTGAGTACAGATGGTTGTGGCCCAACTCCACCCCATCCACACCTCTGCCAATATTAATAATATTTTTTTAAAAAAGATGAAACCTTATCTTTGGGGCCAGAGAGATATACAGCAGGTAAAGTGCATGCCTTGCAAGTGACCGATCCAGATTCAATGCCCAGCACCACCTGGGGTGAGCTGATGAGCACCTCCAGGAGCAATCTTTGAGCAAGCACCACAGAATGTAGCACAAACAACCCTTCCAAAAACAGAGAGTCATTGAAGAGAACTAGAAAGAACAGGGCAGGTGCCAGATAGATAATACAGCGGGTAGGGTGTTTGCCTTACACACAGCCAATCCGGGTTTGATCCCTGGCATCCCATATGGTTCCCCAAGCACCACCAGGAGCAATTTCTGAGTGCAAAGCCAAGATAACCCCTAAGCATCGCTGTGTATGACCCAAAAAGTAAAAAAAAAAAAAAAGCAGATAAACATTTTTTCTCTCTTCCTTTCCCAATAGATTTTTTTATGATTTTCATCTGTTCATAGAAATCTGATTATGTAAGAAGCAAAAACATCAATCAGATCATCTCAACCACAAAATAGACTCGTTAAAAATTCTCGTATTTTATGATGCAAATCCTGCAGTATGTTCCAATGTTTGTAAAAAATCATTTTGGAAAGTCAATGTAGATCATATGGCAAATCGTTAAAGAATTTTTATTATTAAACATCTACACATAAATATATATACATTAATATGTATGATTTTTAACTTAGTAATAAGACTCACCTATAAGAAAAGATACAACTCTTCTAAAATTGATGTTAGTTCAACATTTCCAACTTTAAATATTAACAGTATTTTTGAAGCAAGATCCATTTGTCTAATATTTGGGAAAATAAACATTTACTAGGGTCTGGAAAATCCCATATAATAATAAAATTGGATTGCAATATCTAATATTAAAATATAACAAAGCTACTGGGAAAGAAGTGATTAAGCAGTCAATCTTTACATTTCTGCTTTTATTAAGATTTTTAAAAATCAGATCCAACTTTGACATTTTTAAAATTGTGCTAAATATAGATTTCTTCATAATAGAATAAATGGCAACTGAGAATGGGGGATCTTTAGTCATAGTTGCATTTATAAGGACAATTCTAGTCTAAATATGCTCAAGTTGCACAGTTCTGTAGTTGGGGAGTTTATTTCTTAGACATAGCTTTCTGGAACATATCACATAAACTATAAAACCGTATAAATGGAGTTGGCTTCTTGTATGTGAATGTGTCTATACATACTATAGACAAACTTTAAAGACTATAAAAGTCATGTCCAATATGAGAAGTCTGGCTCTATATTAAGATTACAGAACCTCCCCGTTTTGCCTCTTTATCTTCATCCTATGAAAAAAAAAAAAACGGTCCCCATGGAGAAAGTTAATTCCAGGAATGGAACAGGATCAAAATAAGATGAATCTGAAATATCTCTTTGGCTGCAAAGGAAAAACATGCTAAAACTATTATTAAGAAGAAAACTAAAATATGAAGGAACTCTAACATGAAAGACAAAAATGCTCTCTCAAATATCATCAAAGGGTGTAAATTCATTTGTTCTTGTTGTTTTCAGATTGCTGACACTAAAATCTGCATGAAACATGTCGTATATACAACCCTATTATATAAAAATTTTAAGCTGCGAGTACAAACAATAATTATAAACTCAATGTCAAATATGTTATAGCACTATATAATATATAAGATACACATGTAGATACATATATATATAGTTAGCCTTTCAGATTTAATTTAGCTAAAGCATCTCTTTAATCTAACATTTAGAACTAATGATATATTAATGATTGTCCTCTATTAGCAGATTAAATTTATGATACTACACTATATAGTATGAATGCTTATAGAGAAAATTCATAAAATGCAATTGCCTAGGTCATACCTGGAGAGAGCCAACTGTGGCACCATTCATATGAGTCCAGAACACCAACGTACATTCTGGCCCCGTGCTTGAAATAACAGGGGTGAGGATGTCAGCCACATCACCAAATTTTCCATTTGAGCTATCTGCATACAAGTACCAGCCATCAGTAGTATTTCTGGGGAAATCAGGATATATTTATCAGATAAAAAGCAAAACAAACATTAAAATATAACAAGATGTGTACTGACTATTTACTTTTATTTACTACTATTTACTGCTGGAGCGATAGCACAGCGGGTAGGGCGTTTGCCTTACACGCGGCCAACATGGCCGACTCGAGTTCGATTCCTCTGCCCCTCTCGGAGAGCCCGGCAAGCTACCGAGAGTATTCAATCTGCCAGACACAGTAACAACAAAGTCTCCAATGGAGACGTTACTGGGCCCGCTCGAGCAAATCGACGATCAACGGGAGGGCCTTTACCTTTTACTTTTTCTAAAAATATAGTTAAAGCCATCTACCACAAACCTACAGCAGACATCATCCTCAATGGGGAAAAACTGAGACCCTTCCCCCTAAGGTCAGGGATGAGACAAGGATGCCCACTCTCTCTACTACTGTTCAATATAGTACTGGAAGTACTTGCAATAGCGATTAGGCAAGAAAAAGATATTAAGGGCATCCAGAAAGGGAAAGAAGAAATTAAGCTCTCACTATTCGCAGATGATATGATACTATACTTAGAGAACCCTAAAACCTCTACCAAGAAACTCCTAGAAACAATAGGCTTGTATAGTAAAGTGGCAGGCTATAAAATCAATACCCAAAAATCCATGGCATTTCTATACGCAAATAGTGAAAGAGAAGAAAGTGACATCAAGAAAACAATCCCATTCACAATTGTGCCCCAGAAAATCAAGTACCTAGGAATCAGCTTAACTAAGGAAGTAAAGGACCTGTACAAAGAAAACTCAATTAGAAGTAGAAATAAAATAAATAAAACATAATATGGTTGCTAGCTTTTGGTTCATCATATATCATAAATAGATGGTAGCTGTATATTGTGGTTGAGTTGGATCATTAGTTTGGGATAAGAAAAGAATTTATTGCCTTAATAAATCATAAAATATGAAAGTGAAGATGATTTTTGACAAGCAGTTGTATTATATTAATTGATCTGAATTAAATCCCAATTTCTAGGCAGTTATAGCTTTATTCCTTGTATTCTTAATACCTAGGACTCAAAGATATGGATAAAAAAGATTAATACATGTAACTTATACATCCAGGTATGTGTATGGAACGAATAATAGTGAGAATGGTTTTCATTAAGTGTATAATTTCACATGTGTCTCACTTATCTAGTTTGAAAACCTCTCTCTCTGTGTGTATATGTGTGTGTGTGTGTGTGTGTGTGTGTGTGTGTGTGTGTGTGTGGCCACACCCATACACCCAGAAGTGCTTGGGGATTACTTTTGTCTCTGTGCTTAGAAATCATTCCTGTCAGTGCTCAGAGGACCATGCATTGCTGGGGATTGAATCAGGGGATCCCACATGGAAAGCATGTACTTCAATCTTTTAAGGCATCTCCCTGGACCTGAAAACATTTTTAAAGGCTTATTTTTTTCATAAAATAATCTTAATATCTCTAAACATCACCAATAAAATCAAGGTCTCCTAAAATAGTTGATATTGTCTATTCCTCTCTGATTTTAATGCCACCACCTAATTATTGCCTAAAATATCAAGCCTTAGAGTTTTCTACTCTCCTATTCTTGATTCATTTAATGCATTTTTTTCATACAACACTAAAAATAATCTTTTTTCCAAAATGAAAATTGGATTATATCACATTTCTCAATTCCACTCCTTAGAGCCCACTAACTCCTTTCTAATGGATCTGAGATATAGTATAAATATTTGACATGGCCTATAAACCCCCGATTATTTCTTCACTCTCTACCCATAGGATTAACAATAGGATATAGATGAGTTACATTGACTCCTGGGACCTTCCCAATCTGACTTCCACATACACAGGTATATGAATTAAAGGACTCACTCTTATAACCATACAAGGTGTTTCACAAATTGATTTGGGGATTCACTGAAATTATCACAATTTCAGTAGCTTTCCCCCCAAAAATAAACTGGTTATAAGTCTCATGTAGAAATCCAAAGAACTAAGAATAGTCCATTTTATTGTGAAGAAAAAAAAAGGTTTGTAAGATTCATGAAAAGGGTAGTATTACTAAGATAGAGTGGCATTAGAAAAAGAAGACAAATGTGCTAGAGAAATGAATGAAATAAATCTGAAACGAACATGCATACATTTAGCTAACTGATTTAGAAAAAAAGTTTGACGCTTGAAATCAATGAAGAGACTTTTTCCTATGATTATATTGAATAAGTTTGGTATCCATGTGGAAATTTAAAAAAAACAACATACACTTTTATTCACCAGAATTCAAAAATAATCAATTTCACGATGTAGGGAGCTTACTGTTAACCATGGATGGGTCTGTTGTCCGGGAATCCTCAGGAGGTACACTAAGAGCTCCTAACAACTTTTGAAAGACCCCGGAAAAAAAGGTACTGATAAATAGCATAAACAACTGAGCTTAAAATGAGCAGACAGAATACATGTAGAAATTAAAAGACCCAAGAAGTGACTGAATTATAGATTCTGACTCAACTGCCCATGAAAAGCTGATACTATGCTTCAAGATAAGAAACAAAAGGAAAGATAGGATAAAATAATAGACCTGGAAACAATGGAGTAATATAATAATGAAGGGCTATAACTGTCACTATGATAAAAGCTACACTGGAGTTAAAAGAGTTTTTCAACCAGGAAGCCTGGTATTGTTATTCCATAACCTATAGGAAAAAACTGATGCCTAATTTCTCACCTCTAATACAATTTTAGAAAATCGAGTCACATGTACAAATCTAAAGTAAACCACTGAAACATACAGAATAATTTGGGTGGGGGGTGGGAAAGAACTATCCCAGAAACTATCTCACCTGTAAGAAGAAGGAGACAAGTCAATGAATGAATTTGAGAAATGCAAATGACAAAAGTGCCATTTTTGTTCTCACATTGCACTCTGCGAATAGTCCCAAGGTGACAATACATCATGTAGAAGCCAGTTTGAGATGTAGTAACTGGGGGTAATTGATGTATATATGATTCCTAATGGACAAATGAAGAATACGCAGACACTAGCCTAAATGTGGGTTGAATTTAGCCAAGCGTGTACTTGTAAGGAAACCAACTCATCTCCCAGAATGAGTGTAGCACTAAAGATCACTGCCAACAGTGCTCTGACCCATAAAATACCACCGTATTTCTGTCAGCCTTCAGGCTGGCTTTTCTCATCCAGGGAACAAAGTGGGATGACTTATAGAAAGATAACCTCTAATACAACATGTCACAAACTGGTAGTACAGGTTTGAAGAGAGCATATGTTCTTATTTCTATGCATTCTTTGGTCCCTGAATTTATGATTTTTTTGAAATTGTATATAATTACCTGAATATTTCTTATCAACACTGAATTTAATAGCAAAGGTGTCACAGCCCACTATTTCAGTATAAGGGCATGCAGAGATCCTGCTTTGATACTGTATGAAATTCACTGGAAAACTCTTTGTTAAACAAGTGAAAAGTCATAAAGAAAAAACACCAGGAAAATTAGCAAGCATTGTATTGCCTACGAAAACAATGAAGAAATAAGAGATTAAGACTTATTGAGGCTTAGGACAAAATATTATGAGTGGATATATGAAATTCTGGGGAAACATTCATCAAATACTCATTTACCTATTTGCTACCACCCTCCAGAGCAGAGCAGAAAAACATCAAATTGGAATTTAAAAAATAAGTGAGCTCCTATCTCATACTACACACAAAGGTTACATTGGAAGTGGATTAAAGACCTTAGTCCATAAAACATATTGAGGAAAACATAGGCACAACTCTGAGAGCCTTCAATGAGACTACTAGATTGGTAAAGACAAAAACACAAATCAATAGGACTACACTAAACTAAAACGTTTCTGCACTGGTAAGGTATAATGGCTAAAATCAACAGATGCTCTATTGAATGGGAAATAACATATGTGCATCATACATCTGACAAAAGGATAATATCCAATATACACAAATCACTCACATAGTTCAGCAACAACAAAACAATAACCTCATAAAGGAACAAGATAGGAGCAGAATGGAAACTTTTACAAATATGACATACCGATGGTCAACAGGCATATGAAGAAATGTTCATCATCACTGACTAGGGGAATGCCGATCCCCAATACAATGAGATATCACCCCACACCAACTTCAGTGGTTGATATCAAAAAGTCTATAGATAATAAGGGCTGATGGGGATGTGATGAGAAGGCAACTCTCTCACTCTTGATGGGACTTTCATCTGGTTCAGCTTTGGTAGAAAACGGTATGCTGACTTTTCACGAATTTACAACTAGAACTATCACATGAAACAGACATCTGATTCCTAGCCAAATAACCCAGTGCATAAAGACATATGCATACCTATGTTCATTGCAGCACTATTTATAACAATCAGATGCACAGATAAAGGAAGCCAAAACAGGTAAGTAGCATTCCATTTTGTGTGTTTAACACAGTTTCTTTATGCCCTCAATGGTTATTGAGCACTTGGATGGTTTCCAGATTTTGGCTATTGTAAATAGTACTGCAATGAACATAACAATGTTTATTTTTAAAACTAGTTTCAAAATATTCTTTGGAAAGACACCTGGGGTGGAATTTTTGGGTCATCTGAAAAATCTATTTTTAATATTTTAAGAAACGTGCACAGTATTTCATAATAGCTGAGCCAGTTTATATGCCCATCAATAGCATAAGAAGGTTCCCTTATTCTCATATCTGCCAGCTCTTTTTCTTTTTCTTTTTAATATTAAGTACATCTTACTGGCATGGGATGGTATCTCATTGCTGACTTGATTTGCATTTCTCTTATAATATGTGATGATGAACATGTACCTGCATGTATTCTTTGGAAAAGTGTCTATTCAGGTGATCATAAAACCTCGGGGCTGGAGAGATAGCACAGTGGGTAGGGTGTTTGCCTTGCACACAGCCGACCCTGTTTTGATTCCTCTGTCCCTCTTGGGGAGGCTGGT